CCCCAAAACCCCAAAACCCCAAAACCCCGCAAGAAAAAATAGCGAGAAAATTGAATTAATCTTATAATCTGAATTAATGAGTGATAATCTGTACCTGCTAGTATTTAACTTTTGATAAATCATATAAAATTAATAAATAGTTGGGCAATATGATATCACTTGCTTTAGAAGGCATAAAAAATAAATTAATTAGAAATTAAAGCCATTAATATGAATTATATTAGATGACTATAAGCTTTATTAATACAGGATCAATCCAATACATCCTCCATCTTCTTCATCAAAGAAATATGCTTGATTAATGGGAAGTCACAAATTCCTGATCATCAGGTTAGAGTTTTTTCGTATAGTTCAGAAATACTTGAGAAACTTTTCAACTTCACCGAACATTGTGTCTTTTAAAACTTTGAATTTAATGCAATTCTATGATTTTAGATATTCAAACCCTGCCTAAATATGCGTCTTTATTTAAATATCCTCTATTATGAGCCTAGGTTTAATAGACTGAAATGCTTCAAAATACTTCTTTCAAATCAATAAATTCTTCAGTAATGATTATTAATTCAGAGTACTCTTCATTCACAAACTGCTATTCTGCAGAATTTACAAGTAAAATTGAGATAGATGTCTTAGCTTGAATTATTATTAAATTAGGATAATGCAATCGTAATTATATATTTTTTGTAGACTTCCCAAATTTTAATTTATTTAATGAGTTATGTTGAATTAAATAATCTAATAACTATTAGTTAAACACCGACAAATTGATTGATAATAATAATAGGATGTCTGATTCAGAACTAAAAAGTATAGAATCCGTGGATTATAAGAGTAACACCAATTGCGATGAGATTGTTTTATTATAAGAATAGTTACAGCTAAGTATTGAAAAGTATACTTTCAAACATCACAATTCAAGATTATTATAAGAATAGCATGGAAAAAAATATTTTAAACTTGCAAATCAATTCCATGAGAAGAATCCAAATAATTTTTGCGAATTAATGATTTAGGAAAGGGAAAATTCCAAAGAATGTTTAAAGCAATAATAGAATGATAATTAATCTTAAAAACTTTCCTCACTGGATTTAAAGTTAAATAGATAATAACAAACAAATATTTAGGAAAACTTCACGATCCTTAATAAAGATAAAATTATCAAGAATTTGAATTGCTAAACTATAGATGGAAGCACATATAAAGATGGTGTTTAATTATTGAAGATAAATAAGTAATTTCATAATTAGGCAAACTCTAACTAGATTTCTACTAATGATTTTTAGAATCAAAATTAACATCAGGAATGTCATAATCATTTTTCAAGCAATCTAAAATACTAGGGCTACTAGCAGAATATACCTTCAAAAACATTTCTACCTACTAAAGAATAGCATATTCAGAATTAAATAGATTTTGTCAAATCTCAATCGCCTAATAAATAAAAGAAGTCAAAAAATAATATAAAAAATGACATTAAAACAAGTTAGGTACCAAATATTTCTTAAAACAATATGCTTTTTTATTGTGCATAATAAAGCAAAGAATTAGAGAGTTCAGATTATAAAATTTGTTCAAATTTAGAAAGAAAACAACTATTATAGCAAATTCAAGCTCTCTTTAGCGAGCTTGAGATCGTAGATTACTACATCAAGGTTAAGAGCTTAATAACTCTAGATATTATTTTGAAGTACTCTAAACTAGGGATCTTGATTCCGTTTGATATAAGTGAAGAAAATTTCTAAAAAATGCTTGCCATTGTCTGTGTATTGACATCATGGAACGAGTTTAATAATCAAGGAGACTTTAGATTTTAAGATGCTTACAAAGTCCTAGGTCTAGAATTTTCTTAAAAAAATCATGAGTAATTATTGATTTCTCAAAACAAAATGGAAGATATTATAATCAAAGAGTATAATTAGGATAATTTGATTAAGGTAAACTATGATTTGATAAACCAGTATCAAATATAATTTCAAGCAAACAGTTAAGTTGATATGAATACTTTATCCTAGTCTCAAGACGATTCTTAGTTCTTTTTGGAAAGTGAGATTAAAGATGAAATATTTAATCAATTTGTGAAAGGAGTTTTCATAGCATTATCTACGCAAAATATATAGGAAATATAGAATAACTCTATCACTTAATCTGATTTACTACTAAGGGCAATAAAATAGGCTACAGTCAAACTTCTAAAGAAGGTTTAAACATAAAAAATGAATGATGGAAACATCTTGATATTTACCTAAAGTAAAGAAGAGCAATTTTATGTTATAATCTAAGCGACATAATAAGTTTATGACTACTTCAAGAAAAAACTAAAGAATTTATAGATTGATTCTTCTCTCTAAAGAAAATTTGCAAATTAATGAGTTTTCATAAATCAACATACATGCTATTAAACAATAAGAAATTTTTGGAAATATTTCTGAATAGCTTTTTGATAATTATAAAATAAGACATATTTATAGAGCTAAAAGTATTCAATAATAAATCATGTTAAGAAATTAAAATCAAAACATAAAGAAACTACATAAAAATACTTGATTATCAATAATGATTATATTATAATTAAACTATTGAAGTTTTAATATTATCTAGTGCTGGCAGCATAAATCGCAGATATATTTATTAATAATCATTTAATAAAGCTTATTAGCTCAAAAAGTTTTTTTATGGGATTGGATAAACACCTCAACTCGAATTGCGATGGAGTTTTTTCTATTTAAAATTAACATATTGGCTTTCAATCGCAAAACCCTCAAACATCTACAATGATAAGCAAGTTTGGAGCCAATAAACTCAAATAATCAGCTAGCATTGAGTATGATATGATAGAAGATGAAATTTATGAGGAATTCTCTGATTAATACAATATAAATAGCCAATATGAATTCCACCTTAAAACCAAATGCTAAGTGGAAATATAAAACAAAAGTGAATTCTTAAATCTGACAAATTAACATATAACAAAAAGAAAATTCATAGATATTCCATACCGTGAAAAAACATTACCTAAATAGTAAGATTTAAAAGGATAAAATTTTGAAAATATGTGTGATGAAGAAATTTGGAATATAAAAGAAAACTTAAAATACTAATCTACTAAAGATTTCTGTGTAAAAAGCTTCAATCCAAATCTTAACACAAAAGCTTGCTTAGAAAAAAGAAGGAGTGGTCAGACTTTAAAGTAATTTATTGATGAGAAGGAGAACTCAAACTTTAATATAATACCTAACAATAAATTTAATACTAATTAAGATTTATCAAAGGATTTAAAAAAGCAAACTACAAATGGATAAAATTAAGATTGTATCGAATGGAAATAAATTGCAGAAAAATATAAATACACTGGAATGAGAGTCATCGTTAGGATTCTTCAGCAGTCACAGTATACTTCTATTTAAACAATTATTACAGCTCTAGATATTTTTGAAAGAATATTGCAAAACATAGAACAAAACGATATGAATACTCGAGAACCTGAATATTTATAATAACTTGCAGTAACATGCGTAATTATTTCATCAAAATATTGGGATGTCAAGCACATAAGTTTTGAAAATTTGCTCAATGCAAACTCGCCTTATCCCTATACATCTGAAGAATATAAAAATTAGGAAATTCTCATTCTAAATTACCTTGGTTTTCAAGTAAATTAATGCAAGTTTTTTGATGATGCATGTGAAATCTTGCACAATTCTTTAGATGATCTGGATCTTTTCTCTGATACAAAATATGAAGAATTTATTTATTAGCTCTTCAAATCCATCTCAAAAGTTAGCCTAAATGTAAAACTTTAATCGCTAGACTGTAATTTAGATAAGGAGTAGACTCATATCTTACCATGGGTGATTGCCCTTTACTCAAGTTAAGTTGCTTGCAAAAAATTCCAATAAAATAATTTAAACGATGATTTATCTCGTAATCAAGTCAGAATTGATGATGAAAAGAATATTAAAATGCACCAACAAATGAGTAATAACTCGATTAATCCACTTTTGACAAAGTAAGATTCATTCTATAAAATCTCGAAGAGTCACAGATCTTACCTTAATTAAAGTGAGCTTCATTAAAGCTAAAACATTAATGATAAATCCAATAATTTAAAAATATAAATAAATTGCTACCCTGTTATGATTTAAAAAAATTTAATTCTATTTTAACCATCTTAACTTTATTGATTATTTTTATTTTTGACAAAATAATTTATTTTTTAAAATAGGATTCATGGGGTTTTGGGGTTTTGGGGTTTTGGGG